AACTGTCAGTATAACATCAGCTCCTGCTGTCGTGGCGCCATCTGACTGCACTGATGGTCTTCCTCCAGGGTTCAATTAAAACTCTACAAACTCTTTACTCACCAATGGATATATATGTTTTTTTTAAATTATTTATTGTGATTAATTGCCTTATTCATCAGAATAAAGATAACTCAACATCTCTGCATGTTTATTGTTGTGGCATCTGTGAATATGGAAAGGAGTCCTTTGTCTCCCCTCTGCAGCTTGCTGACAAACACATAAAAAAACAGGTCATGGCAGCACAGTGAGGCATCCACTGAGACTGTTGCATAGAAAGAATGGAAAAATAAAGACAACACAAAAGTTTCAGTCGACTACATTAGCACATAGCCAACAATATGTAAACAAATACAACTTTTCTTCCATTGGCCTGAAAATGAAACCCCATCCTACAAGACACAAGAACAAGTGATGCATTTTATACACACCACACACACACACACACACACACACACACACACACACACACACACACACATATGCATTATTCAGACAGATAAACATAGCAGATTTGCTACATGCCAGAAAAACATGTTGTTTTTGAACAAATCTGCAGAATGTTATAATTATCTCCTCCTTATTAGTTTCCTCTGCCTCCTGATCCCTCACAGCTGCACCATATCAGTAATCACACACCTATTTTCTATCCAATAATCACTCTTGCTAGTATATATGTTCCCTGGTTTACTTTTTCTGCTTCATACTCTTTCTGTTTTGGGATTTTCTGATGCACTTCCGTCCCATACACACACATATGTACATACCTTTGTCTTCTTTTACCCTTGAAATTGTGTTTTTAAGTCTTATATTTAGATCTCCTTAATCTGCACTTAATTCCCTGTGTAACATCATTCTACAAGATGTTATCCAGCTTATTCATAAAGAACACTACATTAGAAAGTTTCTTTTTCCCCCCTGAAAAGTGTAACAATGAAATAAAAAAAAACCCCCAAAAAACCCCCACAAGCCTGAATTGTTAGCCCCTCAAGTACAAAACCCTCCTGAGTTTCTGAACATTTTAGAACAATTGCTAACCTTTTAGCAGCATTGATTAACTTCATTGTGGCTTTAGTTTAGGTCAAATGCAATAAGCGGAAGCGTGTGCTGTAAATTGCTCCGCCGCTATGTCTATGTCTGGTATTTGGAGACTTCTACTTCTTTCCCATCACGGCGAACCGAGCTCGCCGTGCGAGTGTTTTAAGTATGTGATGAATAAACATGAGTTTGTTTTCAGACCTGCAGCGTGAAATCACTGAAGGAAAATTGGCCTCTTTGAATGTGATTTTTGAGAGGTTATCTTTCATCAGGCAACCCCATCATTTAAAAAGCCCACTGTGTACACTAATAGATCCAGAGAAAATGCATCTTTTGTAGTGCCTTGTGACAATTTTGATTGGTGCCCTTGAGTGCAGAGCAGGAAAATAACTGGGTATCTGAAAAGCATCTTGATTTATGGTCAGGCAGAGCAGGCCCAGCATATGAGTACAGCGCCAGAATTAGCCTAAGTTGTAATCCAAGTGCGGATTTGATTGTTTAAAGCCCATTACATGGAGCGGCGCTTAAGTATGAGATTAAATTCACAAGATGGTGATTAATTGACTGATTAGCAGAATGCTGTGGATCATTAGCATGCAATAAAGAGGACAACACCCACTTATGAGAAACGTCATATCTGCACCAAAACGCCATTCGTTATCAGAAAAGACTTTGGGATTCTTTCCCAAATGAACAGATTAGAGCCCGAGCTCTAATACGAAACTGGTAAATTGAGTGGCTTGAAAAGTCTGGGGAATTATGACTGGAGCATGCAAAACATGGATCCCAGTGTGCCAATGGCGTAATTCGGTTTGAGCGATGAAACTGGAAGCAAGAGATTAGATCAGAGATTAGATGATTATTAATATTTTCAGTCTTTGTCTTTATGAAATGACAGCAGGCATTAACAGCATCTTTTAGTGCTCTCTGTGCTGCATGTATAATACATAGCTCAAGGCAGAAGATCAGTCATGGATGTTAACAGAATTAGAAGGAAATTTAGGGAGAAATGTCCACAGATATGAGATTGGACAGATGTGACAACCCTCATTTCATATCTTTGCTTGAATTCCTTTTCCTTGTAGGAGCAAAGGGCCTTTGAGGCTAGCACTCTGTGTAAAGCACTCCTCACAGACTTCAATTACAGCGTATTAATTATGGTGAACTATAAATAGTGAGAGTGGAGGACTGTGAACTGGTAGGACAACATTCCCTCACAGGGGGAAGCTATTATACTGTCTGTGGTCCAGGTTATTATCTCTCTGGCCAGAGTTTCTTTGTCAGAGGGTTATCTAACAATCTGTGTCTGTAAATGTCCACAAGGCTCCACATGGATCACAGCAAGAACACACGTTTAGCAGCAAACACCATTACAGCAAATGCTGTTTTTGGTCTGTGATTTTCAGTGCTATTCCCTTCCTCTTTTAGCATTTCGTTTGGGTAAAACCACAAGTTTTAATGAGTTTTGCTAGCTTTTCATGTGACCGAGCAACACGACGTTTTGTTTGATTGTGAAGTGGAAGCGACTGAAAATCTGAACAGTGTGGTGTGCATCTGTGGAAAAAAAAAGTTCCAGGCTTATCTTGAGATTCTAAGCTGTATTTCTCTAATTAATGACCTTCTTCCCTAGACTGTCACAATATGTCAAGTCTTGATGGGTTTTCAGTTGCGATATACTCTTTCCGTCTTCAAATGAGTTTCAACAGGGGATGTTGAAAGTCTGAAATTTTTTAAAGAACCTAATCCTCCTTAAACTCATCCTGTCTGGTGGGTTTTTTGGTCTTCATTCTAGTTATTCACTCATGTTATCTAACAAGTCACAGAATAGCTGGATTTATGTTTGTTATGCATGTTTTTTATGATGCATGGAGACATCTGCAAGGCCCCAGAAAGTAATATCAAATATCAGTTTGAGTAAAAGAACAAGACATTCACAACATCTGGAAGTGTAGTAGTTTTGGAGGATTTGTAGACTGCAAATCAAATTAAGGCCTAAAATGTTATCTGAATTGTGCTTTTTTTTTCCCCAAGTTGTTCTTTTGAAGATCATGAATGAACAATTTTCCTTTATTCATCTTGTTTACTTAATTAACTGTGTGCTGCTAGATTGATGTTTGTGTTTTGTGAGACAAAGAGTCAGCAGATCGGTAAGCCTTTCATCTTACTGAGGCTTTGCTTTAATGTGAATATGTTCTGACACTTTGTACACCTTGTGAGGCTTGTGAAATTGTGCTTGTTTACAGCAGAAAAAAATCATTTCATTCCGCAGCGGTGGACTATGTGCTTTATTTATTTTTTTTTTTTACCTGTAGGCTTCAAAGGAGAAGGAGATGTTTACGCTTTCGAGTTGCCGTATTGTTATATAATAAACGAGCAGCATTATAGCCACAATTCTGTTTTTTTTTTTTTTGTACCGCATTCTTTCAAAATCGAAAGGATTATCTAATGTTTATTTCAATGGCAGCAACACGGCAACGGGATGGCGCAGGTCCCCAGAGTGGGCCGTTTTGTACAATATTTATGTCAGGTTGTCTTCATTAGGCCCAGAATGGGGACCATATGTTGTCTTGGCCGCCGGCCATCTTCGTCATCCCGGCAGGTGTTCTTCACCGTCCTTTGTGTTACTGTACAGTCAGTGCTTGGCTGATTTTGGCAGAGGCGGCAGATTGCTTTAAGCTTCCCCAGTGCACAGGCTACAGCTCAGCTAGGCAAATGCTCTGAACATATAAACTTAACCCATGTACACTTGATTTTGTGAGTGTGTGTGCAAGATTGTGGAACTTTTAGAGAGGAATGCAATTTGCAAGAAATGCTCTCTTTCAACTTTTCACAAACTGATAATGTTCTGCCACCATATGTTGATATACAAAGCACTGACAAACTAATCACTGAATATTATAAAATTCCCTGATAGATTATAAAATCTGCTGGGACTAATAAACCACCTGGTTGCAATCAAAATGCTTAATTTCCTATATATAAATGTTAGTTGCTCCTACAACATCCCCCAGGTGCTGAGTACATTTTCTAAACATCTTTAAACCACTGGAATACTATATTTAATAGATCACAAACTTTGCTTCAAATCAGGTTTTCTTTGTTGTTAGGCTTAAAGCCTTCAGGGCGTCAAACGCTTTCAGGTTATTCATCATTCTTAACAATTTTTAGCACTGAGGGTAAAGATCTGAAAAGAAAAAAAACAAACTTTAAATACATTTATTTCATAGTGATGTGCTGAACTCCATCAAGCAGTTCTGAAAACAAGCTTTCCACATTTTCCTGTCACACTAATACAGAGGTAGAGCTTTGCATTTCAATAGCATATGCAATTTAATCTCAAGCAAAGTCAGGCTGCCATAGTATTGGTGATAGCTGCAATATACATCTCAGATACTAAAACTCCAAAAAAAGAAGAAAATGTATGCAAATGTTGGGGCACATAGTGTGATTTAACTTTTTGGTAGAGGCTCTGTCAACACTGATGAAGGCTCACCTCAGCATGTTAAATGCTTGCCTATTTTCTAGTTAATTTAGCTAATTACTACATCATCAACTCTTGGGTGCATCCATAGACTGTGCATACAGCATTTACTTTCATCCCAAGATGGTTTGGTGTTAGTCAAGTACTAAGAAGGAATAGAAAAACAAATGGTGTTAAGAACACACAATGTTTCTCAGTAGGGGCGTCATTTCTTCACATTTAGACACATGTCAAACAAGATTTAGACGTGTTAGTCCACATATGGCAAGAAATGAAAGTGTGTGACAGCAGACATCATCCTCACTGAGAAAAATACATTTAGGTCCTCAAACAGCCTTGAATCTCACAGTCATATGTGATGCCCACACAAAAAAGAAAAGAAATGGAGCATGTGTGTCTTTAAATGTTTATGTGGTTATGATGAGAAGCTATTTTAATTTCTCTTAACAAGGGTTCATGATGATAGATGTAGTAACAGTGTTTCACCAGCAAGTGGCGCATGGAGGCTCTGAATTGCTCTGGCGTTTCTCATAAGCTACACGGACTGCGTCTCATTTACATGCTGCTTTTCAGGTGAGAATAACACTAAAGTTTATAAAAAAAAAAACACACACATTTTTATCATTTGGGAATGTTCGGTAAATGTTTAGGGAAATGTGTCAACTTGTTAAAGATGCAGGAAGACTTTTGTTGTGTTGAGCCTGCAGTGGCTAAAGGAAGTAGCCAACATGTCGTGATGCTAGTTGGCTAGCATATTGTTGCTATGGGCCCATAAGATATGTCAGTGTGTGATTAAACATGCATTTAAAGTGCAGTGAGCCAAAGCAATATGTTACCCGATGAAATTGTGACAAAAAAATATGGTGAATAGATTATTTCTAGTTTAAGAAAAGCTAATATTGATGTTTCTTTGTATGTTGGAATATGTTTACAGAGATCATGTATGCAGTAAATTACTGAACTACCAATTGGGCTGTACAGACAGCTAGATGAGATGGTTTGTTCAATAAATAAGCTGAGAGAAATTGGAGTAACACAAAATGTGTCTCCCGTGTGCTCATTTACATGCTGTTTTTCAGCTTTATCTGCTGCTGACAGGTCTGGAACCGTGATACCCATTACACATAGCTGTCTTAAATTTATCAATATTGCTCTGCTGTTCTCCCTCTGCACACGGGGGTTCTCTCTGGGCACTTTGGCTCCCATGCACAGCCAGAAAACTTGACTTTTAGGTTAATTGATCTCCAAATTGCCATTTGGAGTGTATGTGAGTGTGCATGATTGTATGTCTCAGTGCCCTGTGATGGACGGGCAGGCTGTACGTGGAGTTACCTGCTTCCCCCAATGTTGATGCTGGAAACAGGCACCAGAACACCGTGTCCCAGCAAGGATAAACTGGTAAGATGGAGTGATGGAGGGATGCTCGGCTGGTGTAGACATATAGAGAGGAGTAGCTATTTGACTAGTGAAGAACATCATAGCATGTTTTATTTCAATTATATGTCCTCTTGTATGCCCCGTTTTGAAGAGTGGCTCAGAGAATCTGTCTTCTTTGTCATGTCACATTTATGCTGAAACTGCACATGAAATTATGGCTCATTAATTAAAAATTTCCAGAAAATCTGAGCAAATTAGGAAATAAAAGTTAACATGTCATAGGAATTGTTAGGGATGTCAAGACAATTTTTTTTAAACAATTATTTCTTTACATGGGTTTCATTCCTCTCGTGATAGAATCACTCAGATTAAAGATTTAATTGTTTTAAAATTTATACTCTGTGATGATACTGCTGCGATCACGTATACACTTATTTGAAGGCCTTTTATACAGTTTTACTAAAGAGGCTGTTAAGCTTCTCAGCGCTTATGCTGACTGCACATATGCCTTCAGAGGACAAGTATTTGAAACCCAGAGCTAATTTTTTTCACCTATTATGGCTGAGTGTTGTAGATCATCTCCCCACATTGTTTGTGTGTAATAGGCATTTAAAGAGCAGTGTGTGTTGATCATATTCTTATAAAATCAAACCGAGTGCAGCTGACAAGGGATGGATAGAAAGCTGCAACGCAGTTGAGTCTCCTATAATAGTCATTGTACAGGATGATGCTGAAAGCAGCACAAAAGTGCTTTCCTGCAACTTGGCCACTATGAGCAGAGACAAGGGGCTTTTCAGCATGACAGACGTGTCTTTTTTTTCCCCCTGCCAACTCTCTAACGGCCATAATGTGCGCTGCATCAATCAAAGTGTATTCTTTATTCACAAAGCTGGGGAGAGGATCAAAGACGCCATGCCACGGCAAGTCATCATCAAAGTGAGGAGCAGCCTCATGGCATCCCACCCTGTATTGGGTTAAAAGAACAGGGGGTGAGGATGACCAGTTAAGCATGTACACACCGGACCCATGGACCTTGAGGCAATTATCACCCTCATTTAAAAGACAGAGGAAAATCTTTTGAGGAAAGAAACATCCTTATTTTTAAAACGGTGTAAGAAAATGGTGAAAAATCCGCAAATGAAATACACAAAAATAGACTGGGCTAACCATGAGGTATCACCTATCTAACACTATTCATCCAAGTGGTTTCACAATTCATTTGCACTTTGATTCCTGTGACCGTAAAGTCTTGTGTTAGCCAGGTAGACAAGCAAATCATCGGGGACAACAGAATTGTGATATGCAGCAGTAACAGTTTATTTAAAGTAACAATTTCAAAACAACCCCTGTATGTTTCAACACCCCTTAATACTTGAGAGAGGAGTTCCAGCAGATTTCTGTTAAAGCACTTCAAATATTTGTGACCAGTTAACCTGATGAGCATGTCCTGGTTTTTGTGGGAGAACCAAACAGTGCTTACAATTGTGCAGCCCCAAAATGTATTTTTTATCTTCATCAGCAGTCAATGAAAGTTTAACAGTGCATTTCTATATGTTCTTATTCATTTGTATTTGTATTTTATTGACAAAAAAATTCCAAATAAAGTATCTACATTTTAGTTACTTGAAAGGACCAAATCTAACCAGTGTTGCACCAAATCAAAAATGAAATTATCACACAAAAGATTGACTCATTATGTTAAGAAAGTGTTGTTTGCAATACAGTTATTTTTGCATTTAAGTTTCTTTCTGACAAGCAATATTATGATTTTTATCTGCAAATATCTGTTTCTGTTATGTGAGCCCACTTGGTGTGCTGTTGGTTGTGTGTCGTTTTTCATTTCTTGTCTATTTTTGTCTTTGCCTATGTGCCATTTATAGTCGACCTTTTATTCCCCTAATGCAACTGTCTCATTATTTGTGTTTGCTCCAAATTTTGGGCATATCTGCCTGGAAGCAACCAAAATATTTTTTTTTACTCCACAAACTAAATTACCTTCCAGAAGAATTGTAACTAACAAGAGGTATGTTTCATACTGGTTCACTTGTTAAGAGTGCAGCAGCTTCTTATAAAGCACTCTCTACTTGAAAGAAAAATAAATCTATGCAAAAGTCAGAATTGCAACCCACGAATCAATTCAAAATAACAAAGTTTACATGACGTAAACATTATAGAAGCTTTATCCTAAATGCAGAATGGGGATATAAACTGAAGCACTGTTGATATGATAGATCGGATAGGGAAGAAGCTAATTATTGTTCCTGACAAAGCTACTAACGTAAAAAATCACAACGGGGTGAAATGACCCAAGCCCACTTTTCATTCTTCTCGTATTGTTTGGGGTTCCTGAACTTCTAAAGTACTACCAACTCCCCTCACTACCAGTACGTTACTTAATATAGAGGACCTCTGTTTTTAGATTCACTCTAACATGGTTTACATGCTGTCACTTCATCAAAAAGCCTCTTTTTTCCTTTTGAAACAATAAAAAGAAGTAGCACAGAGGAAAGTGAATGAGTCTTCATTGTTTATTTAAAATATTGATCACACTAGCTTTTAAGATAAAAGGTGGCACTGTTCTCACTGCTCCCTTGGGCATGAAGGGGCTGCTTTATACTTGTTCATAGGCGATGAGAACAAAACAGAATAAATCCATTGAGAGCCAACATTATCCAGTTTGTGCACACCTAGATTAGAAAAGGGGAAATGTGACTAAATTAAAGAATTATAGCTCACTACGTCTGCGTTCAAGGACGTAGCGGCTGACCTGTAAAATATACGTTAATACCCAAACGTACGTTGGCATCTAATGCACTTGTCAGTTTTAATAGTAGAAACACAACCTTGCTCCCGAAGATATTACCCCTCATTTTCTTTAATGTTTCCAGAAATGGGATTCATTGAAGCTAGACCGGTTATAAATCCCAGCTGCATTGTTTTTTTTTTTTTAAAGACCAAAGGTTATCGATAAATGAACAATGTTTTCTTCTATTTTTTAGTTCTTTACGTTGCAAGAAGCCTTCACGCGCACGTCAACATCTCCTCACTGTGATAATTGGGTCGTCCCTTCGGCTGATTGTTGGACGCCCCTTTAATTTTTGAAAGTGAGCACCACAGAAGAGCGTCAAGTGCTGCAGTCATTACCATTGCCCCCCTCTCCTCTTCTTTAGACACACACACACGCAGACAGTCATCTCTGTCTCTGGAGCCGTACCATGCTAACACGCTATTACACACCCTGCAGCTTTTAATTCTCCCCATGCTCTGACGCAAGAGTTCAGTATTGATTTGTCCATGTGATGGTGGCTCTCGCATTCATTTCTCTAATGACAATTTGGGCGTGATCACACCACCAAGACGGTTATTTTCATCCGCACGGGTTTGAACAGGGAGATCCGTTTAATCTTTGTGCCAGTAACCCACCCTGTGCTCTCCCACCCCTCTTTTTCTCCACTCCCAAGCTTACTGTTTAGCCATGCTTTGAAATCCCTCCTTCTGTGTTCACCGTCACCGTTTCTAATCTGGCAACCCTAAGGGAGGTGGTATCCATACCTCATTCCAGTCATGCTCGCATGCCTTTTCTCCATGCGCTCATCCCACTTGGGGGTAAAATGGCTTTCTGAAGACATCAAAACCTCACAGGTCCAATTCAGTATTTAGGTTTTCAATTGCCTCATTCCAGCAAAACACTGAAATTTAAGCGGTAGGAATCCACCACTAAAAGCTAACTTTGCTTTCAATCTCAATTAAACAGCCCTTTGTCCTGCTGTTGCAGCTACTTTGCATGAAACAGATGTACACTTGCAGATAAAAGGGCAAGAAGTAGTCACCTTCATGCGGCTTTGTCAGAAGAGGAAAAACAAGGGTGGAAGAAAATGAGCAAGGAGATGAGAGGGAGTGAGACAAGGCGGCAAGTGCCGCTTTTCCTCCTGACTGAATAAAACGCAAAAGAGACGTGATTCACAGAGGATTTGAAGAACTGCTAATGAGCTAGGGGTTAAATCAGATACTGTAGCTGTGCTGAGGAACCTAATTTCACTATAAGCTAAGGGTTTTAGAGAAGGGTGGGTAAAAGTATGGAGGGGGAAAAAAAGCAAAAAAAAAAAAAAAAGTCTCTTCCAACAAGTCGTTTGATCTTTCTTTCAGTCTTAAACTTATTTTCTGGAATGCACATTAGGGGATTTCATAGATGCTGGGAGAAATGTTCCTCTTTTTAAGGAGGATGAGGTGTTTGGCAGTGAAAGAAGTTCTTTGTTGCATTCAGCTCCTGTAATGCTTTCTATTTAACCAGAACGGAGAGAGTGCTTAATGAAATGTTGCCTTGAAAGTGTCTCGGGGTTAGGTATTTGGTAAAAGTGACACAAGCTTTGTCTAGTCCTGAAAGGAGGAGAGATTTTTAATCAGGATTGAAAAACTTTTGTTTGACACACTTGAATAGAAAAAAAAACAAAAACATTTCTTTGCATCTCCCTCTCCTGAGGTGCAGTCTGAAGTTTAAATTCACTCATGCTTCCTTATGATGAGGCATTTCTCCAGTTTATCTCCACACACTGGAATATTATAAATCAAAAATATTTACTTCTCTTTTGTTTTTACTGTGGCTGCTGCTGTCAAATGGATGTTGGCTCATATTCTGTTATTTTCTTGGGCTTATTAGCAATTATGTATAGTGTCACTGGGAACAGAGTTTTGAAGCTTTTGGCAAGTTGTGATGAACGAGCTTAGCAGTGAGCAGTTTGTGTTTAGATAATGATGCTGTGCAGTTCAACTGCGAGACTCAATTCAGCTGTTACCCTCAAATATAAACCATTTAAATGCGATTTAATTTGAGTTTTTTACTCTGGCTCTTGGAGTGAGTGGAAGCCTACTGAGTTGTTTAATGTTCTTGTCAAAATTTAAGAAATATTTAAGCTGACATGAACGTTAATTAGGACGATCCAGCCTAAACTAAATGGCTGTATTCGTTGTAGAATAACCCAGTCCAGGTTAAACTTGCCTAGAAATCACAGTTTTCAGTTTTC